GTTTCTTTGTTTGTTTTGTGTCATTTTTATTTTTGTTAGAGGGAAAGTTGTTCCTAAAGTTTATATAGCACTTCATGGAACCCTGAACAAAAATAATACAAATTCTACACAAAGTCTTCCAGAAAATTGAGAGAATACTACACAATTAATTATATGAAGGCAGCATTGCCTAAATGCCAAGTCACATTATATGCAGAAAATATACATATATATGTATATATATATACATATATATATGTCAAATATCCCTTTTGAATCCACACTCAAAGATGTTACACAGAATACAAGTAAACAAAAAACCCATCAATGTTTCTTAAAAAATAATTGGCCATGGTGATGTGGAATTTATTCTAGGACTAAAGGGCTGATTGAGCATTTAAAAATCAGTGTAATTCACTAAGTTAACAGAATGAAGGAGTATCACAAGTCTATTTGGATTAATGTAAAATTATTTGATAAATTTCAATTGATAGTTGTGATTTAAAGACTTTAATAAATGATGAAATTAAAAAAGTATTCCACTTTTACCACATCATTCTATGTTTTCAATACAATTCCAATAACAATCTCAATAGTATTTTTTTAAAGAAATTAACAATTCCATTCGGATTTATATAGAAACACACAAATTCAAAGGAATCTCAAAGATTCACACACACACACACACACACACACACACACACAAAATGTAGTTTGGATGCTTACTCTATTGAAATTCAAGAATTGCTATTAAGCTCCCATAATCAATGCTGTGTGGCATTGGCACAAAGTTTAACACTGAGACTTGAAACCAATAGAATGCACAGAAATAGGCCTAAATACATGAATTTTTACAAAGATGTCAAGTAATTCAATGGGGAAAATATAGACTTTTCCACAAATTATACCAGATCTATGAGGGGAAAAAAAAAATCTAAACCACAAACTCATCTCATACCATACACAAAAATGAACTCAAAATGAGTGTGAGGTCACATGTTAAAGCTAAATCTTTAGAAACTGCCAAAGAAATCTTTTGACCTCGGGAGGAGACCAATATTTATTAGATACAAAATAATCATAAACCTTAAGAACAAATTTAAAATTGGAATTTGTCAAAGTTTTAAAATTCAGTGCTTATCGGGTAACACCATTAATAAAAATGAAGAGGCAATCCACGGATTAGGTGAACGTTTTGTAGATAAACGTAACATCTATATGACAAACACCTGTATTATATGTAAAAAACATTTAAAACTTAGTAATAAGAAAACTAGAACCCTTACGTTTAAATTATGCAAAGGACTTGAACAAAAGTATACAAAAGTCTAACAATAAGATGAAAAACAAAATCTCACCGCCATTAGTCATCAGGGAAGGCAAATTAAAACCACAACAATACATCAATCACCACAGGTCTCCTAGAATTACTCAAAGGAAACAACAGTACTAAGTGACAAAGTTGTAGAACAATTGGGAATCATCTTGTGTTTTGATCTGCCTCCACAATTTTAATGGTGCCTAGTATTCCATGCTGAACAAACCATGAATCCCAAAGATAACTAGTTGGGAGCTTCTTAGAGTTTGTTTTTACTTCGTGTCTTCTAGTGATTGAGAAAACAAACAAAAACAGCTTTTGGAGTCAAGAACCTTAGAATTCTAGCCATTGATTTCATGCCCTCACTGCTCTAGCTCTCAAGCAATCTGTAGCAGGTTCCAGAGAAGTTGTGTTATTGCTGAGGAGGCAGAAGTTCTCTCTGTGACATGAATCAATAGGTTAGCTACATCACAGGTCACCACACTGGAATTATGCCATTTTTCTACTTGCCTAACATTCTGCATTCTTAGAAGCTCAGGTCCATTTAGAGAAAGGATATTCCTATGTGTTTGGATTCCAAGTATGGGGCATGCAACTCCCTATTCAAAACTGGATGTTTGTTAAACATCTCTCTTCAGCATGGTTTCTAAGACAAATCATTTCTGTCAAAGGAGATAATTAATTCCTGGGGGAAAAAGTAACAACACCATGACAAGGTCCTTGAACCTATGGAAAACTCTTTAAATATGCATGCACTGTAAGGTGAATATGATTTTTGTTGATTCCATTTGCAGAGCAAGATTCATATGCTCAGAATGACTCATTTGAATGTGCTTACTCCATATATCTTGCTTCTTGCCTATGGGACCAGAGCCATTTGTGGATGACGTCTCCATATTTTTTCTAAAATAATCCGTTCTAAATTGAAATCCCAAGTGTTCTGTAAAAACTTTTTGAGGCTTTAGGCTAGAAGGGAAGCTTTTGATTGATAAAAACACATTCTTAAAAACTTGATTTGGTATCAAATTATTTGACGAGTCTCTTACTGGGTGTGTCTTATCTTTCATATTGAAAGTTACCTATCTGAGAGGAGGTCACTTTGAAGATGGGATTATTTCTGAACACCTCCAAACATCATTAAGATCTTCTAAGTCTGTAAGGTAAGTGTTCAAAATGGCTGATGCATCTTAAATATTGTTGCCTCCCATATATATTAATCATTGTTTCAGTCCCTTCAAATATAGTATTCAAGTACTCCATCCACACCCCATTTCTTCAAAGGATGGTTGGTAAATATCATTCACCTAAACTGACAGAAAAAAATTTGATACTCAAGGAATTGAAGCCAATTATTGGACCCTGCTCTTTGTCACCAAACAGCATGCTTTTGTAATGAGACAGCTAGTTTAATAATCTAGATGAATCATGAGTGTGAAAACACAATGGAAATACACTTCTCACATAGAAGAGGCATAGTATGAATAATAAAGGACACATAGCATCAGCTGTGTTATCCAAGCATGAATGGAGAATTCTTTTTTGTAACAAAGGCTACAGATAATTGAGTCTGTGTACCTTCTTTAAAAGTAAAATTGGAGAGGATTCTTCCTGAACTTCTTGCACAGTTAAGTGATTGCATAATTATCACTCAAAATGTCAATAATCCCTATATCCTAGGTGCCTACACAGTTACAAAATAGATGAAAGTTCTCTGTGCATACAACACGGTGGTGATTTGTTCAAGTAGGTCTCCTTAAACAATTCTCATGAAAATCTTTCATGTGGATATGATTAATCTTGCTTTATACATGAGGAAACAAGGATGTAATGTGCTAGGAAGGTACTCCAGATAAAAGAAGATGCAAGTGGAAAAATCCAAATTCTAATCTTGTCTTTTTGATTTTCAAACCAAAACACTTAACCACAGTGGAAATCCTTTACAACATTTAACAGATGGTTTGAAAGCTTGACAGAAAACTAAAAATAAACACCCAAAAACCCAAAACCTAAAACCAAAAAAAAAAAAAAAAACAGATGGTTTGCTTTGGAGATGGATTATAATAGGGAGAACTAAGTCTGAGGGAGAAGTCAAGACAGAAAGAGCTTTCAATAAACATAGTACCATGTTTTTTATTTTTATTTGACTTTTTCATTTTTTATTTTTTTGTACTTGATAGTTGGGAGTTCAAGCATTTCTGTGTGTGTGTGTGTGTGTGTGTGTGTGTGTGTGTGTGTGTGTCTCCTAATGAAATTGTGTTATAGACACTGGCCTCCAAAGTAGTAATAAAGCGATTACAATTATTGTGGTCATATAAGAAAAATATAATTGGTTCAATGTTGTTAATTATAACAATATAGGGCATGGGTAATAATTTGGAAGAAAACCATGAAGAAGTATATTCTGAACTAATCTTAGTTCTTGCTCTTAATTAGCATCTTGATCTTGGCAGAATCTTTACCTCCTCTATGTTTCTATACTTAAAATATAAAATAATTTTCAAAACAAGAGCTGGAATTATCTTACAGGTTTGTGGTGGGGATTAATTCAATAAACATCTGCAAAAACACTGAAGGCCACTAAATACTCACTTTTAGTAAACATTGTTATTGTTACTCTTACCATCAACCTAATTCTCTGACACTGATTCCTCATCTCAAAATGGATGGAATAATACCAAACAAATGGGATGTTATCAGTATTTAATGAGATCCTATCTATACAACATTTGCTATCATACACGAACATATTAATCAATTATTAAACTCTCTCTCCGTTTCTCTCTCTCTCTCTCTCTATATATATATATATCATTAGCAAATATAATATTATTGTATATAAAAATAAACATTATTAATTATTTTTATAGTAGCTTTTGTATACTTTACATACCGACAATCAACACCCTGTTAATACTATGTCAACTATAATAAATAATCTCTTAACCGGGGTTTCTATCTCTGGCTTCCAAACTCTTACTGAACCTTACCCCACTTCATCCAAGACACATGAAGATCTTTATTAAAATTTTATCCCTTATGGGGCACCTGGGTGGCTCAGTGGGTTAAGCCGCTGCCTTAGGCTCAGGTCATGATCCCAGGGTCCTGGGATCGAGCCCCGCATCGGGCTCTCTGCTCGGCGGGGAGCCTGCTTCCTCCTCTCTCTCTGCCTGTCTCTCTACCTACTTGTGATCTCTATCTGTCAAATGAATAAATAAAAAAATCTTAAAAAAAATTTATCCCTTATTATCTCTTCCTCAAATTCCTCTTCACTTTTCCTTGTATATTCTCACTGTCTTCTCATGGTTTCCCATTTCCTAAGGATAAAGGAAAAATTCCTAACATTGCACTCAAAGCTTTTACATCATAAACCACCTCCCTTTTCTTACTTAATGTATTCAATTGACTACTTCCTATTACATGACTAATCACCTCAGATGATGAAGTGTGCACAAATGATCTCCTGCCTGTGTGTTTACAAAGCTCCCTATGGCCATACTCAACAGAAATTTCAATGAATAAATAATTTACATAATCATAAAGAATTCATAATTTATTTTCTATCTCAGAAAACCACATGAGAATCCACAATTCAATAGAATCTAGGTATGTATTACTTACTAGATGAAAAAGCTTAATACGTTCAAGGTTACAGTAATAACAAGTAATTTTTTTCAGGTAATGCAATTATTCATAATATGAAATAATGGAGAATAGAAACAACGTGACAGAGTTTGTTCTACTGGGGCTCACAGAGAATCCGAAGATGCAGAAAATCATATTTGTTGTCTTTTTGGTGATTTACATAATCTCTGAGGTAGGAAATATGCTCACCGTGGTCACTATCACTGCCAGCCCATTATTGGGGTCTCCCATGTACTATTTCCTGGCCTATCTCTCTTTCATTGATGCCTGTTATACTTCTGTTATTACCCCTAAACTGATCATAGATTCACTCCGTGAAAAGAAGACCACCACATTCAATGCATGTATAATCCAAATCTTTGGAGAACATTTCTTTGGAGGTGCTGATATCATCCTACTTACTGTGATGGCCTATGACCGCTATGTGGCCATCTGCAAGCCATTGCACTACACGACCATCATGAATCGGCATGTGTGTGGCCTGTTAATGGGAGGGGTGTGGGTGGGAGGCTTTCTTCATGGAGCCATACAGATCCTCTTTATCATCCCTTTACCCTTCTGTGGCCCTAATGTCATAGATCACTTTATGTGTGATCTGAACCCTTTGCTCAACCTTGCTTGCACTGATACCCACACTCTAGGGATCTTTGTTGCTGCCAACAGTGGTTTCATCTGTGTCTTCCTCTTCCTCCTCTTAGTCATCTCCTATGTGGTCATTCTGTACTCCCTAAGGAAGCACAGCTCGGAGGCAAAGCGTAAAGCCCTCTCCACCTGTGTCTCCCACATCACAGTAGTTATCCTATTCTTTGTGCCTTGCATTTTTGAGTACATGAGACCTGTGACTACTTTATCTATTGATAAAGCAGTCACAGTGTTCTACACTATGATAACACCAATGTTAAACCCCTTAATCTATACCTTAAGAAATGACCAGATGAAAAACGCCATTAGGATATTGTGTAGTAGAAAAGCTATTTCAAGTGAGAAATAAATATGCCTAGAGCTCAACACTGATTCAATGAAAACAAAGGTCAAAAGGACATTTTGGAAGTTCTCAGAAAGGAATCCCTACCAAATAAAGAAATAATAAACTATTATGAATGCTAACTTCTGAACTGAGTAGAGCAGAAATGTGTGCAAGAAAGAAAAAAATTACCATAGCTTTTTACATATATACATACACATATATATACATATAGATAGATAGATATGTATATATACAGCATGTAATATTGGCATATATATATTCATATTCACTATGAATATTCACTATCTATATATTCACTATCTATAAAATCTAACATATTTTATTAAGAATTCTGCTCATTTTTATATCACAGTATTGATGATGACATGCTTCCTATAAAATTAGAGTATAAAATGACTATAGCATTGTAAAAGTGAAGAGCCCTTTAACCTATGAGGGGTAATGAAGATTACCCCAACTTTCCAAACTCCCTTGTAGACTTCAGAGTCATATTGTATTGTTCATGTTACCCATCTTAGGCTGCTAACCCGTTACAATGAATCATGACTCAAATTAATGAACATCTTATTATCTGAGAGGAATTTCGATTAAATAAAGTCACACTCCATAGAGTACTTGAGTATTTGTTAAGAATCATTTCTACAAGTCAGCACAATGTCTAGGGCACAATAAATATTGAATGAGTGAATAATGGCATGAAGGAAGTTGAATAACGTCAAGAAAATTTAGACCAAAGACCTATTAGTGGAGACAAGGGACTTTTTTTCCTGCTTTTATCTGATTCAGACTCATATTTCGAGGGAGATTTCTTTGAGAAATGATAATTTTTTGAACTCCTGATTAAACTATGTATTTACAAAGATTGAAACTGAGATTCTCAATGAAGGAGCAAATATCTTACATTGATATTTTCCCTGCTTTCAGGAAGATTTCATCATCATACGAATGTGAGCTGTTCATGCCATTTTTCTCTGTTAACTATCTTATTTCTAGGTAACATTTCATTATGAAAAGTTTTAAAAAATAAGTGGTTCCATCTATACACAAAACAACTTTAGGAAAAATATATTCCATTTATATATCTCTGTGTGTGTGTGTGTGTGTGTGTGTGTATAATATTCCCCATTCATTAATCAATAGATATTTCTAGCAGAAAATATATCAGACACATTGATGGTTGCTGGGCTTTCAGTGCTGAATAGAATAGAACAAAGGTCTTGCAATCAAAAAGCTTCAGATCCACTGAGAGATACCCAGTGGGGAGCAGAATATGATAAGACCATGTTATAAATGGGAGGGTAGTGGCAGCACAGGAGGACAATGAAAGCATGTTTGAGGGACACACAACAAAGACCAGGGGGTCAGAAAGATTTCCTAGATGAAAACATCAAAAATGGGCACAAAGGAGGAAAGAGAATCATGAGAGTGAATAGACATGTGTTAGGATGAGAATATTCCCTTTGTTGCATAACAAAGACCAAGGGTGAAAAAGAGTATGCAGAAAACACAATCATTTCAATATGCTGTGGCTATTGGCTCTTCTATTCATTCAGTAATTAATTATTGAGCTTCTTCTATGTGTTGGGTTATAAGCTGAACCCTGAGCTCCTAAAAGTCTACTTAGTAAGACATGAGACCAGAAAGTTAGTGACAGTGAAGATCAAGAAAAGTCTCATATCTGTGATAGAGCTGAATGCCAAGTATCATAGGGAACACATTCGAAGGGTCTTCATACCTTTTCATGGCCTGTAGCTCATTTCTCTTGTCAATGAATAATACCCTACTGTCTGATGTTGCAGTTTATCTATCCTCATCTACTGAAGGACATCTTGGCTGTTCTCAGTTGTATGGACAATTGTGAATAAAGATGCTGTTAAACACGTGTGTGCAGGGATTTTTGTAGATATAAGTTTTTAACTTCTTTGGGTAAATGCCAAGGAGTGGGATTGCTAAATTCTTTAAGTTCTATAAAAAAAACTGACAAAGTGTTATCCTAACGGCGGCACCATTTTGCTTTCCCATCAGCAATAAATATGAGTTCTTGTTCCACATCCTCACCAGCATCTGTTGGTGATGATGTCCCATATTTTGGCCATCCTAATGGATGTATTGCTAAAAAACCTCCTTTGAGTCATTTTCTTATTAAAAATGTTCAGATTAAGTAATTCAAGAAGGCCCGTGGACTTGAAGCCAATTGGTATAAACCTCAAAATCAAAATATGACAGGTTCAGAATCTATGGCTTGCATGTTTGACCTGACATAAAGATATGGAGTCCCATCTATCACTGTGAATTCTAAAATCAAAAAAGTGTCTCTGGTCAATTTATGATGAATTCTACATACAACAAATGCTTACGTAAAGTTAGATGATTCCAAGGACACTGGGTCATTACCCAAAGTTACTGAGGTGTGAGTAATGGAATCAGAATTGTCTGTTAGAATACTGTTTCTTTTGATCTTCAAGTCTAAGGACTCACATTTCACAAGTAAACCTATTACCATTCAGAGAGAAATGTGAATGCCAGTTTTGTGGGTGGGAAGAAGTGACATAACAATCACATCTTCCTACGTGATAAGGTAGCAAAGATGGAATACAGAATCATCTCTGAAGAGACTGGACAGCTACTAAGGGAAGAAGAAGTAGAGGGGATGAGATTAAAAATGTTGGGTAAGGGGACCTGGGTGACTCAATCATTAAGGGTTTGCCTTTGGCTCAAGTCATGATCCCAGCGTCCTGGGATCAAGCCTTGCATTGGGCTCCCTGCTTGGCCAGAAGCCTGCTTCTTCCTCTCCCACTTCCCCTGCTTGAGTCCTCTCTCTTGCTGTCTCTCTTGCTGACAAATAAATACATAAATATATATTTTATATAAATAAATACATATTTTATACGTATTTATTTTATATTTCATATATTTTATTTACTTGTATATTTATATTATTATTAATTATTATTTTATATTAATTAATTATATTTATATTATTAAAAATTATTATTTTATATTTATTTATTTTATGTATATTTTATATTATAAAATAAATACATATTTTTAAAAAATAAATAAAATAAAAATGGAGGGTAAACAGCTGAGTTGAGTGGAAATTGATACATTTACCATGAAAATTTTCATTTCTGGGTATTATGCACATTGACAGCTACTGTTGGGACATAATGAATCTGCAGAGTTTTGGTCAGAGATCTAGGGAATCTCAAGGACACCTCAATTTTTCATTGATCCATTTATGATACCACATAACATAACCAGGAGAGAAATAGACTTTTAAAAACAATATTTTAAAGAGATGATACTATCTTCTTCCTTTACTGCACTGTTTTAGAGGTTTATCACATTGTATTATTAGTAGTTTGTTCCCCCTTAGAAAGAATAGTATCCCACTGTATGGGTCTACCACATTTTTGTATACTTATTCACTAGCTGATGGACATTTGAATTGTGTCCACGTAAGGACCACAGTGAATTATGCTGCTGTGAACACTCATGTAGAAGACGTACGGTAGACATAAATTATCATTTCTCTTGGCTTGATACCTAGGAGTGGAATTGCTGTGTTACAAGATAAGTGTATGCTAGCATTTTAGGAAACTGACAAAGGGTTTTCAAAAATAATGGTGCTATGTTACATTTCCACCAGCAATGTATGATCCCATTTCTCCGCAACCTCAACAACTGACATTTCAGTCACTTTTTAAAAATGTATTTATTATTTATTTATTTATTTATTTATAGGGAATATTTTCAGCATTTTTAAAGTTAAGTGTTTTTTTTCAAGTTTTTATTAAAATTCTAGTTAGTTAACATGCAGTGTAATATTAGTTTCAGGTGGAGAATTTAATGATCTAGCACTGATATTCAACACCTCTTGCTCTGGCTAATCTCAAGTGCAGTAACAATTAGATGGTAACAAATGTTCTATTGATGTAATAATGTATTTTGTGTTTGAACACAAGCTAAGGATTTACCTTTAAGCATTGGCATATTTTTTTGATAAATAGTGTTTGTATTAACTTTATTTTTAATTATTCTCTAATTTCTATTTTGATTTCCTTTTACTTTTTATTAACAATGTTTCTAAACTAGCATATATTTGCAATTGAAAGTTACCCCCTTATTATTGTTTCATACCTTATCTGCATTGTCATTAGATACATTGCTCTGAATGACTCAGATATTTTGACACTTGTTGAGAATATACATGTGGCATAAAATAGAATAAATTATTTTAAATAACTCATACACAACAGCTGATGAATGTACTGCTTTTTATGTATCTGGCTGCTTCCAACACTATTGCATCTTGGGTGCCTGGGTGGCTCAGTTGGTTAAGTGTCTGCCTTCAGCTCAGGTCACGTTCCCAGGGTCCTGGGACCTAGCCTGCCATAGGTCTCCCTGCTCTGCGGGAAGCCTGCTTCTGCCTTTTCCTCTACCTGCCACTTCCCTTCTTGTGGTCTCTCCCTCTCTCCTTCAAATAAGTAAATAAAATAAATCTTTAAAAAATAAAAATAAAATAAAAAACAAATACAACTGCATTTTGACTATTCTTTTTCATGCTTTCAGCTACAATTTTTCATGCCCCAGGAGTTAGCTGTATGTTTTGTATAAAGTGCATATCAATAGATGATGTACAGTAAACAAAAGACATATTTCAAAATATTCAAAGCAACTGTACTCACAATATCCTTGCAAACGAAATGCCTAAATGTCTAGCAATGAAGGAATGGGTCAGTTGTCACATATCCATGCAGTGAGATACCCCAGATCAATGAAAATAATCAGGAAATAGATAAATCATAAAGAATAAGTCTCATGAACATACTGAGAAAAACAGACACTAAAGAGTAAAATCTGCATTACTGATTTTCTACAAATTCAAACACTAGGTAAACTTCATCTGTTTTGTAGATAAAAATAGTGATTACTTGGGGCGCCTGGGTGGCTCAGTGGGTTAAAGCCTCTGCCTTCGGCTCAGGTCATGATCCCAGGGT